CTTGCAGAGTTCTGTCATCACAGGTATGCTTGCTAAAATACCGTTATCTGGACAGGATGGCAACTAGCAGCTCCATCAAGACATTCCTCAACCTTTTAGGAGGAGGCCCTGTAAGTCCAGTAAAGGCACGTGGCTTTGGAGTCAGTCAAGGAGCTAATTAGAGGCATCTCAGTCTGTTTCAGTGTAATGCCATAAAAAGTGTGTGCTATCTAGAAAGCAGAACATCTGGCGAACAGGCTAATGAGAGCCAGACTGGGGGAGCTCTGAGGCAAATGTAAGAGCTACCCTGTAGAGTTTGTTTATAACTCTTCGAATTTATAGGAGGTTACTAGGTTGTTGGATTTTTAAAAATTATTATTTATTAAAGGAAATGTAGACACCGAAGATCAAACAGTGAGAGTCCCAGTTGACTTCAGTTTGACATAAAATAGCCTGGCTGGGAAGGGTGATTTTTCCCTGGTTCCTGTGAATGTTTTTTGTCCCTTATTCCCCTCTTGGCTCTGCCCTTGAGATCCCCCGTGGCCGCCTAAGTTCCTCCGAACGAGAGGAGTTTGTTTGCTCTCTCAGCCAACGGAGAGTTTTTCCTTCCCCTAAGCAGGGATTTTGTTTTGCAGAAGGAGAGGTTTAGGCTCAGGAAAGTTTATGCTCCTTCTCTTTCTTTCTTTTTTGTTTTTTTGTTTTTTATTGTAATGATGACATATGGAAACTATTTACACAGGAGCATGCTCTGCTGCACTGAATGGAAATGTTGGAGTCCCGGCAGTATCGTTCCGGATGCCTTGTGTAAGCAGCCAGCTGGTTTTGCTTTTTCTTTTTTTCTCTTTTCTTTTTTCCCCCTCCCTCTCTCCCTTTTCAGGGAACGTCTGGGATAAGTTACACAAGTGTGGAAGGAAGCTTTGCCATCTGTGAACAGCTCAGTTCGTTTACTTTGTCATGCCCCTTGTACTGTGAACCTCACAGATAACTATTTTCTTTTTTTTTGTTGGGCGGGAGAAGACTCCTTGCTGTGACTAGTCAGCACTTTGAATCCTTTCCCATTAGTTGTTCATGTTTGCTGGTGAGCACACTCTGGTATATGCCAAAATAAGAGAGCGCATGAAGCCTTGCTTTACCACCACACTCATGTTTAAGAGCTCTTTGTCCCGCAGCTAAGCCTTCCAACAGCTTGCACTTAGAAACATCCTGCCGCTAAAACAGCGATAGGGAAACGATTTAACTGAAGTCTGAGCCACCTTCCTCAGAGGGGAGGGGAGAAAACATTTAGTTCTGCAGAGAGCAGAGGAAAATCTTTTGTGCGTAGCTTTCCCTTGAGGAAGCTGCGAAACTGAGGATCAGCTTTCGGAGGGGAGGGAGGGAGCAACTTCAGATCTGACTTGTCTCCCTCTCCCCAACTCCAAACACAAGCGTGCCCGCTTCCCGATGCGGCGGCTGCCATGCAGTGGAGAGAGCTGCCTGCCATCTACTTTGAGGATTACGGGAGTCCTGTGGAGAGATCCTCCTATCTCATTGAGCTCGATACTAATGGTAAATGCCGTCGGGGATGTTCTGCAGCACGAGCTGAGCGGAGCGGAGCTTGCATTAGTCTGTGTCATTGTTATCATGGGAGCAGCTGAGGAAATTAGCTAGCTGGAGGGCTGCCAAACAAACAGTCAGAGGGTTGCTTTTCAAATTTATTATTATTTTTATTATTATTTATTACCCAGATGATGCTGTTGCCTCAGGGATGCTAGATCAACCTTCTGGTACCTGATGGGGAAGGAGCTGATCCACAAAATGCAGCTCCCCACTGGAACACTTCACCGGTACATTTTCTGTTGTCTGTGCTTAGAAAGATGATGTCTGGTTTAGACAGGAGGAACACATCTTAGTTTCTACAGCTATTTTTCATTTCTGGTTTGCATTGTTGAGTGCTGTTTTGTATTTGCAACCTTGATCTCGCTGGGATCTCTCTTCTGTTTCAGCTGCGAGTCCTCTGTGTGAAATCATAGAATTGTAGAATAGTTTGGTTTGGAGGGGACCTTTAAAGGTCATCTAGTCCAACCCCCCTGCAATGAGCAGGGACATCTTCAACTAGATCAAGTTGCTCAGAGCAACCTGAGAGATGCAGAGAGGGGTCCTGGGTTTTTACTGTGGTGTATCTTTCCCTAGTATTGATCCTTTTCAAACAGAGGTTGGTCTTTGTGAAAGAACTACTTCAGGGTTAAAAGTAGTTTTGGCATCTTTTGGTAGGGTACAGTGTTTTGGTGTTTTGTTTAGTGCTACAAACCTTTGCTGATTTGACCACAGTATGTTTTGAGTTCTTAAATTTTGTGTATACTGTAATGCACCAATAACACCATAATATTGTAAGCAAGCTGCTTAATGTGTCCCTCTTCCCCAAAAGAGCTAGTACAGCCAAGGTGTTGATTCTATGCTTTTTCAATATCCCCTGAACTGTGTGAGGTGAATCACATTTGGATTGTCTCTGAACACTTGCTGTGAGTTCTGGAAAGGCTTGAAACTCCGGCTTCTGTTAACACCATCACAGTTGTTGCTGGTTTGAGCAAGGCATCCTGCAGCCTCGCCCCAGTCACCAGGTAATGAAGGAGCTGTGAGTGACATGCTGTAGAGCTGTCCAGGTGACATCATGGATGGCACATACAGCTCTGGACATCTTCAGACAGCAGGTTATGTGTGATAAGAAGAAGTTACACTCTCTGCTCCGATGTACCTGTCGCTTGTGCCCCTCAGCAAGGTTTGGGGGTGTTTGACAGCTCTGTGCCTGTCTGTGGTACTGCTTGAGGTCTTTGAGGCTGGGGGCTGGAGGCCACTTTGTGCTCTGCCTCTGCTGTGAGCCAGCTTAGTGCCCCACGGAGGGGAAGGCAGGCAGGACGGGGCTGCAGTGTGTTTTGTCTGGCAGCAAACGATCTGTTAGGATAGGAATGATTATTGGAAAATACTTATCTTCTGGGCACTAAAGATCTTCAGCAGTGAGTCCAGGTTCTGATGAAGGTTCTGCTCCTTCTGCAGCTCTGCTAAGCATTAAGTGCAAAAAGGATTTTGCTACCAGGCTGCAGTTGCAGGGAGTCTGTCTTGTTGAAAGACATACACAGTAAAAGATTCATAAATAATAACAAGAACCTTTTAGAGCTCACAATGTAAAGCTTGTGATTTTTGCATATTGCTGTCATCTTTTAGTTAAAAGGTGAACAAACCCAGAAGACTGCCATCCTATTCTGTGGATAAATAAAATCACTGTCATTCTTTTTTTTTTCCAGAACTGTGCACATTCAAGGTATAAAAAGGATGTGGGGGATGAATCTGCCCCATTCAAACATTTGTCCAGGTGTTGAGTGGTATTTTAAGGGTATGGGGGAAGCAAAGAAGAGAAAGAGACTTAAATGCTGCAAGATTCTCACAATCTGAGTATGCAGTCTGGAAAGCCTTCACAAATCCCAGATAATGTTATCTTAATTTGATTTGAGGGTGGAAAAGGCAGCTGTGGCTCTGCACTGGTGAAGGGGTTTCTGCCTCCATCAGTAGTACGCAGTGCCATTTCTCTCAATAGGTGCAGTTTTTGGCAAGGGCTCTCTCTCCACTCCTGAGGGTGTTCTAGAAAGACTGAATCAGTAATTCGATGAGGATTATTTTGTCACAGCAAAGAGATGCAGCAAATCTTCAGCATGGTGTCATGAGAGAGGAAAAGAACCTTGCTGTAATTTTTTCCCACTCTCAGATAACTTCTTGTCAGACAGAACAAGCTACTGCATCACAGCTTTTGTGTTAATAAAAAAGGGGAAATCAGCACTTTTGCACTGGCAAGATCGATTTTACATGTACTCTCTTTGGGAACATGCGGCACTGGAGAAGGGGAGCCTTTACTGAGAGCAAGAACAACCATGTGATTTGGGTAATGATTGTAACTCTGGAGAACTGAGTGCATGGCCACAAGTTTCATGCATGGCCCTAAGCAGGTCTTGCTTCTGTGGGGACTCTGCTCACTATTCTTTGTCAAAGGTCCAAAATAAAAATCCCAGTCCCAGAAAAAGAAACAGAGTGACATTCCCTTTTTGAACAATAATTGTTTCCATGCATGGCTTTCATGTGTCTTAATAACAGTGAGGCTACGTAATGCAAAAAATGGCAAGTATTATGGAGTATATATGTGCCCTGCATAGTTCTTCCATGGGAAGGGCAATATGTATGTGTAGCTATGCTTGGGAGTTGCTTTTTGCAATTGAATTGTATTTTTTAAAAATAAATCTTTAGTTATGGAATCTGATATAAATGTTCGGTAAATGTTTTGTAGTTCTTTACTGGTAAGAAAGACATGCCCTTAGAAGTTTCAAAATCACTCTATGGGATATGAACAGAAATCAGCCTTGCTGTTTGTTTTCGTCAGAGGGATGTTGGTACTTACCTGCATCGAAAAAAGTGTTGCAAAGATGTGTTTAATAACTGTGGAGAGCTCTGAAAAACTAGGCTTTCTACTAAAAATACTGACTGCTGCTTTAGTGTACTATACAGCTTCTATTCTCAGGCTGGTTTCCTTTGCCTCTGGTAGTCCAGTACTCCATTCTTCCATATTCTCTCCTACCACTAAATATGAAAAGGCAGTGCTCCTTTAGCAAGCCCACTTTTATTTTGTGGGTTGGATGTCCTCGGAGACTTCTAGCTGTTAGCTGCCTGTTTATAGTTTATGACTGCTGATAGTGTGCTACGAACATGACAGCACAGATCCCTGAGCCAGAAGACCTGCTTATTGTATTAAATAGGATGCTGTCTCTTTTGATGATCTTCTGGGAGCATTCCCGTGTTGAAGTGCTGAGTTTGAGTGTGTCTCTTAAAAGCTCCTACATGGGAAGAATCAATTTGTCTGTGTACAGCTGCCAGTTTCCTGGGTACTCTGGCACCTCCTGATGCTTGTCTCTGGTCCCAGTGCCTGGCCTGTTTGCCTGCATCCTGATCAATCTCAGCTCGCTTAATTTTAAATCAATTTTTCTCTTATTGTACTGATGCAGATGGAGGTAGCTATGACGTTATTAATGATGCATCCAGCCCTGCTGCAGGGGACTGCTGTGCACAGCAAAGCTCTGCCCGACACAACTGGGAAATGAACTACCAAGAGGCAGCAATCTACCTCCAGGTGAGCCCTGCAGTGGGTGTATTGTGTGAAAAATGGATTTATGGAACTATGGTAGTTCTTGATTATAAGAAACAGACAGCTTCTGTTTTGAGGTCAAAAATTTGGTGCTTTGCAAAGGAATCTGCTTGAGGAGTGGTGATGCTGGAAGCACCTTCAGATGGGCTCTAACAAGTCTAACAAGCTACCCATCCTCTCCCAGTGTCGAGGACTGTAATAGTTGAGGGATTCAGCACATGTTCAGTTCTGGCACCTTGCCACGGATATTTCCTTAACTTGTCACAGGTTGTCATTTCATGTCTTCAGTCGCTCCAGAGCGAATGGTCAGTGCTCTGCTGGAGACATCTCATGTTCTAGAAGTGCAGGTCCTAATCCTGCCTTGGCCACAGGTTTGGTGTGTGGCTCTGGAGTGTTCATTCACCATCAGTCAAGCCCTGCAGGTCATGTAAGACACAAGAGAAGGTAGGGGTCTTGATTTCCGCAGGAAGAAAGCATGTTGAGATTAGGATCAGCCCAGGAGTGAAATTTATGGTCTTTAAAAAGAAAAAAAAACACAACCAACCAACCAAACCCCACCCATGATCCAGTTACAGGAAACACCATCGTTACTTCAGCAAAGGTATATTTTTAAGATCACTGTACAGTGTGGTGAATTACCAGATTAATTACTACCAAACCGGAGCTTCTCCCAGAGCTGTCCAGTCTGAAGTTGCTGGTTCCCTTACTGTGCTTCCTTCCTCCTTCTCTTTGTTCCCTTTCAAAGGCTCTGCACTGCAGCTTGAGATGCTTTGCACCCAGTTAGATTTTTTGCTTAAGCCATTGCAAGGTGATTGAAACGATTTGTTCCTCCCTGCTCCTAGCCCACAGGACTGAGAAGTGTTGCTTCTCTGACATTTTAAAACCGGGTAGGCTCGGACCTTGGTAATACTTCAGCTTTGTCATATGCTAGAGCAGCACTGACAATATAATGGTAGCTCCAGCCCCTCCCAGGCTTTTGTTTAAACTCATGATTATTGGAAATGCTCTGCAAAGGGTCATTGAGTTGCTGCAGTGTCTGATGGTAATGTACGCAGCAGGCTTGGCCCTTCAGATGCAGATTATTCTTGCTGCTGCCTTGACCAATGGTCATGATGACAACGTCCTTGAAATGAAGTAGACATAACTTAAAGAGCATGCAGATTGTTTATTTGAACAGTAGCTGCAGGCAAGAGTGTCTTATCTGAATAAGAGGACTTTGCTGTCCAGCAACGTTTTGAATTGCTTGGCTACCAAGAGGCAGAATTTAGACTATTTTTCATTCTGCAAGTGTGTTTTGTCAGGCGTGAATAAGAATGCCCTGCTGATCTAAGCTAGCGCTCTCTTTGAGGGGGGAGGCTTGCGTTTTATGAAGCTTGCTGCTGGGTTTTGTCCTGCTTGCAATCTGGCTCACTGACCCGGCAGTGTTTATTCTTAAACAGAATGTGAGTTTGCCTGGGAGATGAGTAAATGAGAAGCATTTGAAATGCTCTTCTGAATTGGTCTCAAGAATGCTTCACTTCTTAAAGGAGATCCTGTTTCCTGACCTTGTTATCCACCTGCAATCACAGTTATTCCACTTTGATAGTAATAGCTTACTGTCCTTACAGTAATTGCTTACCTGGGAAGATGTTAATTTAAAAAAAAAAAAAGAAAAAGCCAACTTCTTGTGCATCTGTGTGTCCCAGCTGGGGAAAAAATATCTCTTATGACAATTTCCAAGAGGCAGCAAGTTTCCTCTGAGTGACAAAGGCTCCCTTGCTTAAACCATTGACTCAAGGAAGAGAAGAAGCTGTTGGGTTGTTCTGCATGAAAAACCTCTAAATTCTCACCAAACAAAGTTTCCTCCTAGAGGTAAAAATAGTAATGATGTACCTGTTTAAAAATCAGTTGTAGGCAAACTGTTAAGATGGAGTATCTGACCTTTTAATGTTAATTAAGCTTTCTAGTTAAGAGGGAATGACAAATCAGCATAGAGACTTGTTAATTTTTCATGGAGTCTGTCTTCTCACATTCCTGAAGCAGAAAACACTGCATATACTCCAGTGTTTTCTCCCAGACATTTTGCAAGGCCAAGATAAGGAGGAGCAACTGTCAGCCAGGTGCCCTGGAGCTTATCTCTGTGTTTTCGTGTTCTGTCCTGGAGAAGTTTAATCAAATAAGTCTGTAAACATGGAAGTGGTTGCAAGTAAATGAAGTGCTGTGTTTATGTTGGGATGTTGACTAAAGTTTCTTCACCCAGCTTTATAAACTTTCATCACTCTTCCTCATTTTGAAAAGGCTCAAGGGTTTCTGAAGTAGGAGTTTGTGGATATTAATGAGTTTCATTACTGAAATATGCTTATGAACAGAAGGGGATATCCCTTGTGTGTAGAGTTCACTCCTCAATAAACAGATCAATGTCAGGCTGTAAAGTGGGAATAGTCTGTTGGGAATTGTATCTTGTTCTTATGAAAGTCTGCGTTCTTCATGTGGAAAGTTTTGTTGTAGTACTGAGAGTCACTAATGCTGTTCTCTTCTTTATTCCTGCTGCCCTAGGAAGGAGAAAATAATGATAAGTTCTTCACTCACCCCAAAAATGCCAAAGCACTTGCTGCCTACCTCTTTGCACACAATCACCTTTTCTACCTAATGGAGCTGAGCACAGCACTGCTTCTCTTGTTGCTGTCTCTCTGCGAGGCGCCAGCTGTTCCTATGCTCCGTCTTGGCATCTTTGTAAGTACTTTGGGGTGAAATGAAGAAGTTTGCCTGTTTTGCAGTGGTGGGGAAGAGGAAAAAGAAGGCTAAACATAGAGGAAGAAGTCAGCAGTAGTAGGAAAAAAACCCTACCTGGCTTGTTCTGCAAATTGGTGACAGCAGATGTGCCAGCCGGCAAAACATCCTTTTTTCATCTGATGTGCATAGACCACGATGAAAGTGACACTTACTTCATATGTCAGTTTTTATAGTTCTTAAATTTTGTAACTGAGAGTGTGTGGTTTTTCCCTTTTTCTTGAGATAACTCAAGGATTTGTGTGCTTTGATGGAGTGGTTTTAAAGCCATCGCAGGGTTGGTACCGTTATCTCAGCACCACCACTGGTTCCTAGAACACAAACAGATCTCAGTCTGGGACAGGTTGCTAAACCTTCTCCTGTCCTCTCCTCCCAGTGTTTTTAATGTGTGTGTGACTGACGTGAAGTTTCGTGTCTAACCTTCATAAAATGCAGGTTGAGAGAAGGGGTGCACAAACTGGTGTATACGGTTGTCAGTCTACAACCACTTCAGGAGGTACCGCTGTCAGGCACACTGCTAGGAGCTGCTGTTGCTGGAGGGAGAATCTACATCTGCTTTTGGAGCTGTTAATGGCACCCTGGGGCTATGCCAGGGGTGTAGAACAGCCATGACAACCTTGGGGACAAAGCATTCCTCAAAATGAGTCAGGGCTGCATAACTCAGTTTGGGTTTTGAGCTGTGACTAAAGCTGAGGTTGTAAGAAAATGCTATTATTGTCTTTGTGGTGCATTTTGCATCTTCCAGCAGAGAAGGGGTCCATCAGCACTGCCAAAAGCTGTGTTCTGTTCCAGAGCTTGATCAGGACCCTGTCTGTGGTTGTCCAGAATATCTATTTCAAGAGATAACCGAAGAGTTTTCTATTCCATGTGAATTCTCTGTGAATTCTCTCTGCCCAGCAGTTTTTATTCCTGTATTTCACTAAAGAAATTCCAGTCTCAAACTTTATTAAAAGGTTTTTGCTGCAGTTGCCCTTTTTCAAATATATCAATACATTTTTCTGATGTGTTGTTCAAATCCAAGAGGGTTGTGGATATCCAGGAAATTCTGGGCTGATACTGAATAGAGGAAAATTCTATGGGCTTTAATAAAATCACAAAGCAATAAATATAGCAACTTTGAAAGACAGAGTGCTGTGCTAGCTTTAATGGTGGCCTTGGGTTTTCCTGCATGTCACAGAACTGTACTCAGACTGTTGTGAAACCCACATGCTTGAAAAAAGGGCAGAAATGTGGCCTCTGATGTGCTGCTGTTTGTAGTCACAAGCCCTGGTTTAAGCTGTGCTGTATTGTCACAGGTCCATGCAACCTTGGAGCTGTTTGCGTTAATTGTAGTAGTCTTTGAACTCTCAATGAAGATGAGGTGGCTGGGCTTCCAAACCTTTATCAGGCACAAAAGGACTATGGTGAAGGTAAGTTGTCTCTGATTGTCAGTGTTTCTCCTTCAGCATCTTTGGGAACCAAAGAACCAGATTAAATATTGGCCTGCAGTATAACAGGGATGATTTAGCCATGTGTCCCAGCTGCCAAATGATTCATGTGAGACCTCTAAGCGCTCAGAGACACCTCCCATCCTTAAAGTGTCCACATAAATGGATGGTTAGTGAGAGCTTTGCCTTTCCCAAAAGGAGTCTGCAGCTTTGCCTCTCATTAAACCCCTTTTTTGCAGACTTGTGTGCTGTTTGTACAGTTCATAGAAGCCATCGTGGTGTTAGTGCGCCAAACCTCACACGTCCGGATAACGAGAGCTCTGCGCTGTATCTTCTTGGTGGACTGCCGGTACTGTGGTGCTGTCAGAAGGTGAGTGCTCAGCTGGCTGGGTTCCTGCTGTCATGCCTGGGACTGGGGTGAAGGAAATGCAAGCATCTCGGGAAAATGTGTCTTTTGTGGCCATATCAGATCTCAGAGATTTTCTGGAATTGCGACACAAGCGTAGCTAGTGTCTTGCTGATGTAAGGGAATTTCATACGTAGTAGCTTTGGATGTGCTCATGGTGCACGGTGCTTATGTGTGCTGCCCCGAGCTGTATAAACTACCTCAGAGAGCACAACATGTGAACATGGCTGTATTGTTTCTGGCTCCTCGGTTTACCTGTAAACTTCACAATGAATCACAGGACTAGCCTTTAGTCTGGAGAAGGAAAGTTGACAGGGTGACATTCGTATTGTTTGCAGTACCTGAGAGCTGACTGCAAAGGATGGATAGGTAGCTTGGAAACAATCTTAATTTACTTAGCTTTCTGCTTTTAGTCCTTGGAGGGAGTGGAAAGTAAGTCCTCAAGTATGGTGTGTTGGGGTTTTTTTCTCTGCCAACCTGGAGGAGAAAACATGCAAGTTTTAGTTTATCAATGTTTTGTTATTTTTCAGAAATCTGCGACAGATCTTCCAGTCCCTCCCCCCATTTATTGATATTCTTCTCCTCCTGCTTTTCTTCATGGTGATTTTTGCCATCCTGGGTGAGTTGTATTTACAGAAGTTATGAAGTTGTTATCCAAAAGCAACACAAATAGCCTGGATGAATATAAAGCTGATCAGATTCAGAGTCCTGCCAGGATCTTCCATTTGCCCCATTTCATCTGCAGTCATCTGGAAGGCAGAATTAAAGATCCAAAACATCTAGAAGCTGGGTGTTTGATTTTGAGACAAAGGTCCTTTTGACCTCTTCAGGAGGATAGTCTGTGGTGTGTGTGGTTGTGGTTTCCAAGTTCTGTTTCCATCAACTACTCCTCAATCTTGTAAGTTTAGTCTACATTCCTGCGAATGCATGTGTCTGTGGTGTACCTGCTACAGTCCTATACTCAAACCATCCCCAGAAAGTGTATTTTCCAAAACCATCAGCGACATGCCAGTGACATGTATTGGCAAATCTATATGGAGAAGGCCTTCCAGATACTCTCCTCTTTATGGTGTCAGAGGGGGCTTACTCTTAGTGTGACCTTCTCTGTGGGAACAGAGGCTCACCACTCTGCTGCTTGACATTAAACAGACTTTATTTTTGTTTGTTCTTTCCCCCTTTCTTCTCTTCTGTACCTTCTCTGCGGCTTCTCTAGGTTTTTACTTGTTTTCTCCTAACCACTCGGATCCGGTGAGTATCGCTGATTCTTTCAGCTGATGCTTGAGTCCCATTTTGATGTGCTTAAGAATCAGACAGGACTGTGTAGATGTACCTTACTGCTGTGTGGTGGCCTGGCAGGCCAGATGCTAGCTGGTCAGAGTTGCTTGGCAGTGTTACCCTGGCTTACACCCTGCTGGGAGGGAAGGCTGTGCAGAGAACTTACTCAAAGACAGGGTGTCCCAAAGGGAACATTCCCAGAGTTGGTGTCATAATTCAGCCAAACAAGCCACCTGATGCTGTGCCAAGGGGAGGAAGGTATCTGGGTGAAAGCTTGGCTGCCTCAGACCGTGACTGTCAGAGTCTAGCAGACACTCGTTCCTGCTGCTGCCCAGTCTGTACCTTACTGGGAGTAACTACTGCAAAAATGTGTAGAGGAGCTATTAATTGTTTTAACTCTTCACATGCCATCTCTCAGGAACCTTTAAAAAGGACCAATGCTGAAGTATCCTTTCCCTAGGGAGGCATCAGGGAGTTGTAGAAGTGCCTATATGCAAGTGGAGGGTGGGATGGTTGGTTGGTTTTTGAATGAAATGTCACTATGAAATTCTGCTTGCATTTGGTCATGGGAGTTTTTTCTTTCAGTATTTCAATACCTTAGAGAACAGCCTTGTGAATCTCTTCGTGCTTTTGACCACTTCGAAGTAAGTTTGTGCTTTTCTAGCTCAGTCTTTCCCTTTGTCCCCAAAGAAGTCTAGCAGAGCCAAGATCTTATTTCCAGAAATGCTCTGTCTCCAAATGTCACCCCTTTCCTCTTCATGACAGAGAGATTTCCTGGGTCAGCCTGCATGGGAAGAACTGGTATTTCATTTTGCTTTAGGACACTGTGACCTCAGATGCAGCGTTATCTCTAAGCGTCTCAGACCACTCCATCAGTGTGAGGGCAATAAGAGGGGAAACAGCTTTATTAGGCCTTGGTCCAAGAAAGGACAGTTTCTATTTGTGCTCCTTTGTCAGCTGACAGTTTGCTGTTGTGAAGTATCTTCCTATTACTCTGTTTCAGTTCACCTATCTGCTAGGAAAGGGGGATAACAACAGTGGGTAAATATTGATCTGCTGTCAGGGAGAGCTCTGAGGATTAAGAAATTAGCAAAGGATGGAATAAACCTTAGGCTGTAACACTCTTACACCAAGGCTGTATTGCTGTCGTTGCTAAGTTTCAAAGCACAACCCTTAACCATGTTACAAATCCCCTTTGCCCATCTGATTTTTGGGATGTGCAGGAATGTGCTTTTCATACTTCTTCACCGTGTCTCCACGTTCTTGCTCCTTGTTGCTAGGTGCAAACTTCTGTGTCATGAGCTTACGTTTTGCAGAAATGCACAGATCTATGGATGTGGGTTTACACAGACACCTGTGTCCTCTGCTCTTGCCTTTGTAGTGGGAAGTGTAGCATGAGCTATTTGGTGCTTAAACTTCTGTCTTTTTCGGGTGCAGTTTCCCTGATGTGATGATGCCATCTTATGCCCGGAACCCCTGGTCCTGTGTCTTCTTCATAGTGTATCTCTCCATTGAGCTGTACTTCATCATGAACTTGGTGAGTCCCCTGATGAAGCACTTGATTTCTCTCCACCTGACTTTAGAGTTCATTGCCCAATGGGGTCTTCCTCATTCCCAAGAGTGCTCTGTAATAATCTGAGACCCTTTGGCAGAATACTTGGCTACAGTAGGAGTCTTTTAATGTTTAACCACAAGGAATTGAACTAAATCACAGAAAATGGAATGATAGGAGTATCTTTCAACTTCTCTCACATTAATATCATGCTTGGAGTGACATACTCAGTTGCATGAAATTTACTGTCCTTTTCTGTCTTAATTATTTATCATAAAATGGCATTTTATTAGCTGGGCTTGCCTAAAATACTTTGTAAATCAGTTTGAAGGGGATGGAATTACTGAGAGGACTTGAAGAGTGCTGATAACTGCAGTATGAGAGCATGGCTACTGTGCTGGCTCTGCTTTCTGCAGCATCTAGGACAGGGCCAAGGCCAGCTCAGGTGAGCCTGTGAGTGGTGGAAAAGGTGTTGTCAAAGGAGTTGAATTCTGCAACTCAAAATGAGTGGTTTGATGCTTGTAATGGGCTTGGATTTCACTGCTGCTGTCCTAGATGGAGGGTTAGTTTTGACATGTGTTTGCCAAAGCTCCTGTGGAAGGGTGAGTCCAGAAAGCCGCCCTCAAAACCCTCTTTCCAGAAGAGATCAGGGCATTTAAACAAACCTTTTAGTACTGTTTTCGGTCAGCATGTGGGGGGTTTACCCTTAGCTCTTAAAACCACTATCGAGTGTTAGAAGGTCAGAAACATCTGGACCCCTTCCGAAAAGTAGATCAGTGTGTGTGCAGTGGGCTTGATAATCCTTTTGTGGGATCCCTTTGTGGCCCACGGGCCCTTACTGCCTCTGTTCTGCCTCAGGCACTGTCGCGCTTAGTAAATTCCTCCTGCAGGTGATCTCTGGGATGCTCCTGCCTGTCTCAGGTCACCACAGATATAAGGATCATCCCTGTCTTCTCTCTGCAGCTTCTCGCTGTTGTGTTTGACACCTTCAATGACATCGAGAAGAGGAAGTTTAAGTCCTTGCTGCTGCACAAGCGCACGGCCATACAGCACGCCTACCGCTTGCTGATCACCAAGCAGGTACGGGCCCTGCAGGGAGGCTGAGAGCAGCCCAGCAGGAGGGCAGGTCGGCAGTGCTTTAGGAACACCAGTGCTCTGGAGTGTTTAAAGACCGTGTTCCAGAAGAGATGATTTATGTCTGTTGGCTGGAGTCAGACTCACCAAGGGCTGCTGTTTTTTCATTTGTGTAACTTGTTTATATCTGTTTCTGGAGAAAACACAACGTAGTCTGAATTTCAGCCCCATGTGAGGTTATGGAAGTGTCTTGCTAAAATGAGTGAAGTTTATCCTGGAAAGCATGCAATCATTGATTCCTCTCTGATTCAGCGTGGGTCTTGCTTGAGGACTTGCTTCTCAATTAGAGGAGGGGTGGGTTATACTTGCGAAGGTACAGTACAGTTGCTAGAAACCACATGAGTAAATGGTACAGAAACAGAAGTCATTCATGCACAAACAACTCTTTACAGGGACAGAGCACTGGGGGAGAGGGTTGATTTCTTGCTTAATTTGTGAAGCAGCAAGAGAAATAGGGCCCAAAAATAACCTACTTCTAGTAGATCAGTTCATGTTTAGGGCACATTTATTATATGAACAGTTCCTGAGGAATAGCTGATAGTCTTTAAAAAGTGCCAGTAATGGGATGTTAGGTTGTCTACTAATTTCCCAAGAAGAGTGGTTGAACTCTGTCCCTTGGGGTGTCTGGTTGGACAGTTTTCACATGATAGGGCAACAGGGAACAGCTCTGCATTTGCTGGAGGGACTGACTGCTAGGAGAGCTTTCTGATCTCTGGGATAAGCTCAGTAGTAGCTTAGGGTACTTTTGGGGCTTAGTTGTAATGGCATCTTATGATAACGTCAGATCCTGATTAAAACAAATCCGGAGTGAGAATTAAATATACTAGCCTCTACGTGCTTCTGCCTGATGTCGCTGCTTATGACAACATTCCCTTGTTTCTAGAGGCCGTCTGGAATTTCCTTCAAGCACTTTGAAGGGCTGTTGCGGTTTTACAAGCCTCGGATGTGTGCCAGAGAGCGATATCTCACTTTCAAAGCACTGAATCAAAGCAATACTCCTTTAGTCAGGTAGGATGGTCTTACTGCTGCACCCAGAGCAGGGAGGTTGCATCACTCTCTGAAGCTAGGCTGTGCTTCATTGAGGATGGCTGGGTTTTATGGAAGGAAATTTGTCTGGGATGTGGGAATAGACTTATGTGATGGAAAGGATTTGTCTGGGAAGCAGGGAGCTTGGAGGGGGGAAGTACCCTGAGAGTTGAGGTTTTTCTGCGGAGGTGATGGAGTTCCTGCCTGCCCTCTTGTGGATACAGCGCTCTTCTGGCAGTCACCAGGCAGCCGCTGCTCCCCACCTCCCCTGCCAGAACAGAGGAGCGAGAAATTGAGGAACAGCATTAGAGCCTGCAAGGAGCATTTCTTCACACAGTGCGGCCTCGCAGTTTAACAAGTTTTTGTTTTTTCCAGCAGCTGGCTGTGTCCCCCAGGGTTTTGTTAATTAAAATCTGGTTCTGCTGGTGCTTTCAGGACTGTCATCCTCTGTGTTATGAGGCAGAGAATTGCCATTCTGGTGGGTGGGTGCAGCTAACTTCAGCCAGCATGGAAGTGGAGGGAATTAGAGCAGGAGACCTTCTCTTCCTTTTCCTTTGTTCTGGCCACAGACAGACTCAGAATGAGTCTCCCATTAAACTGGTGCCGATGCTTCTCCTTAAAGTCAAGTGCCACAGAGAAGTATTGAAAATGGCATAGGGAGAAAGGCTGAGTTTTTAAATTTAGGCACGTAATGACACCAGTAAGAGTCTGAGAAGTTCAGCATCCTCTCTTTCAGATGCCTGAAAGCTGTTATAGGCCTGACCCTGAGCACCTAGACAGGCACTTACGTTATATGAGTTTCTTTGCTTTCATGTCCTTTTTCAAATTTCGATGTTACTTTGAAAAGAAAATGTGCAAAGATGTTAGAAAAGGACTGTACGAGTAATTAAGACAGTCCAAGACTTCTTCTAGAAGAGTAGAACAGTGTCTCTCCCTGGGAGTTTGCTATCTAAGCTTGAGGTCTTTCCTGTCAGTGGTAGAATTCTGGAGTTCAGTAGAGTCAGAATTTCCTTTGCGGGCTGTAGTGTTACAGAAAGAAGAAAGGCTTTGCACCCTGCTCTGGCTGTTGTCAGTCAGTAACCTTTGGCCAGACTGGGAAGAGGTCAGTGTTGAGTATACCAACTGTGGCTGCAGTTCTAATAAGGAGTTAATAACTTCCAGGGACTCTCTGATGATGATGCCTGACAAGGACAATTAAGGATCTAATCAACTCCAAGGCTCTGATCAGATGCTTCTTTCTGTTTTGCAGTCTAAAGGATTTTTACAATTTCTATGAAGTTGTTGGCTTAAAATGGAAGGTGAGTATTTTTTGGGTGGAGAAGATGGGAAATGTGTGTGGGAGGGAGAGCAAAGGAGGCCGGTGATTGAAGAGAAGGTGAGTAAGAAACAAAGGCAATCTAAAAGAAACAGATAATGGGGATAAGGTGGGTCTCCATCACTGCCCATTTTTTGTGTGGATGTAGCATTGACTACTTCTGATTGTGGCTGTTCTGCTTCCAGGCAAAACGAAATCGTGAGCACTGGTTTGATGACCTTCCACGGACAGCATTCCTTATTTTTAAAGGTAACAGACTGTGTTTTCGTGACAGCATGTGTTCAGCTAACAGGAAGAGCATTTCTTTGCAAAGACAGGGCCCTCGGAAGGGACCTTCTCTTCCGTCCCTGGTAGACAGCCAAGGGAAGGCCTACTAACCACCTCTCTCTGTATTTGGAGCCTTGCATTCAGAGTCTTCAAAGAAGATTTCTCTTATGTAAATATTCTCTGTGCTCTGACCCAAGCCCTGATTTCCTTAAAATAAGAGACATCTGTCAGATGCTCTGTAGCAAAGCAGACCCTGAGGTCATGGAGGGCTGTATTCCTTTTTTAGCACAGAGGTTAGGTGGGGATTTATGATTGCTGAATCTAGTAGAGTTTATAGAATTTCTCCATATCCCAGGTGGCAAATCACAGCAGTGACTGTGGAGAGGGATGTGTGTTTTCACAAAAGCTGTTAGGCTTCCTAGTCCCAAGATGTGGTTGTAGCACTCGTACAGGTCAAGTGCGGCTGCTCAGGAAGGGGAAAGAGGTCTGAAATCAGTGTAATCTGTCTTGCAAACATAGCCATTCAGAAATAAGAACTTATCTGCAATTCTTTTTCAGTGTTGTGTGCTAGTGGGAACAGTTAACACCATCTAGATCCAAACACAGCTGCCATAGGAGTCCTACATATCTCTGCTGATGCACTCAACCCTCCTTGACAGCATAGGTGTTGTTCCAAACACGAGTAGTGCTTCAACAGCTGCATTTACCTCTGTCCATGCCACAGAACTAACACATAGAGGAAAAAAGGCATCTTGGCAGTTAAGGATAGCGAGTTTATTGCTACTAAAACTCTAGAGGAAATTTGAACTTGGTCCCAAGAACTAAAAGTTAATCTGCTAATCTATTTAGCTTCTGTGCTGAGATTTGGTATGAAAAATGTCTCTAAGGAAAAGATAGAGGAATCTGTGTGTGAGAGATGAAGGACTGTGTAAACATTTGTTTTATCATACTTTCCTTCTTACAGGCATCAACATCCTCGTGAAGTCTCGGATGTTCCAGTACACCATGTGTAAGTAGAAGCAACGAGCTGTCTCTCTGCTAGGCAGCCTTGATCACGGGTGTGCTCTGTCTGCCACCCTCACGGGGACTTAGCGTGGTGGGGCCCAGTCTTTGGTCTGATCATGGCTCATGTACAAATTTTAGAGTTTTGGCAGAGGGGGAGGGAACTGCTTGCTTGTACTGACCACTGCTGCAGCCTGGACTCTGAGCTCAAACTGTGTTGAGTCTTCCAGAGAGGCTCCTACTTCATAACACACTTGTGGGTCAGATCCTGCATGAGTCAGCTCGTTGTGTTTAGGTAGGTTGGTGGTTAGCTTTCACAGGCCTTGAGGTTTTTATCTTGCAGCTGAAGGATGCTGGGTAAGGAACTGCCTTGCCAGTCAACCACCTTCTTCTGTTTGCACTTGAGAAGGTGCAAGCATCCTCGTTGCTGGAGGGATTGCTTGGCAACTGTACTGCCTGTGAGAAGGATTCTGTGCTTCTCTCTAAAGGAGAAAGAGTGCTTGCTCGTGGTGCTACTTGCAGTGTTGTAAACAGTCTGTCCCTGCTCTGTAATTTGGGGGTTTTTTGAATGTTGAAGGAGAAGTTTTTGTAAATTGGGATGCTAAACTAAAGCAGGTGGGGTGGGATGGAATGAGGAGATTTGAATGAAAGGGAGAAGTCCTGCAGCTTCAGTTCTCAGGGTTTGAATGCTGGGGAGCAGCGATAGATCCAGGCTGACAGGGTTTTGTCCTGCACTGTCAGGGACCCAGTGGTTCTTGAGATCTTGTTCTAGAACTAGGAGGAGGCTGAAATATGCAGGTAATAACATGGCAGAATGTACACTAATTATAAGCTAAAATGATTGTGCATGATTCAGACCATTGTTTTGATTTAGTTTTGCCGCCTTCTGAAGATAAAGGTACTGCATCTGTTAAAGGCCTGGAAAAAGTTAGGGTAGAAGATTCTCCCACATTACAAGTTCAGTTTGTTGAATTGGAAACAATGACCCTGCAACTTGTCCTATATTGTACTCTTTCTGTTAGCCTAGGAAATGGATGTTTTCTGGTCCAGGAGTGGTTTTGCTATGGGTTTTTTACTTTATTTTCCAGATACTGTGGTGGCTGTGAATGGAATTTGGATTCTTGTTGAAACCTTCATGCTGCAAGGTAGGAAACATCACAGCTTGTTTCTTAACTGTGAGGCTGGGGGATTGAAAAAAAGGAAGTCTAGAAAAAGTTCTTCTTGTGTCTTGCAGGAGGGAATTTCTTCTCCAGAAATGTCCCATGGAGCTACATAGTCTTCCTCACAAGTAAGCTGATGCCTCCCCACAGAGCTGTGTCATTTCATAAGGAGTTGGGAGGGGAATAGACAGCTCTGTTCCTGGGAGATAATTCAGTTTGAAGTTAAAACTTAGCCACAGGTGTACAGACTCCATCTAGAACAGTGCTGCCTGGCAGGGATTGTCAGCATCCACACAGACCCACGTGAACACTGCTGCAGTGTTACACAGCTCCCTGCGCCACGGCAGTCTGGGGGGCCTCTTACCTCTGGTGCAACTCTCAGCAGAAGCTGCTGTATTACATTAAAGTTGGAGTCAGCCCTGAGAGCAGAATAACGTTGTTTGTTAGGCACAGCGTGCAAAGTGATAAGCTCCTCCAGACTTGTGATGGCTCTGCGTGGAGTTGCTCATGTTGCTCTGTGCTGCACTGACTATTCCAGGAGGCATTACCAGCTCTGATCTGATTGCAGCTGTGAGCTGGCTCTCTGCCACACAAAGCAAGGCGGTCGTGTTGGAGTACAGAGTGCAGGGGCATGCTGAGGAGAAGACTGAAAGGACTAGATGAACTAGTTGATGAACTGAGTTTTCCAGTTGAACATCATCCCCTCCATGAATGCGTACCTTAGTCTTCCTTTTCAGCCCAGGTACAAGCAATTGCATCTTCATGGGCTGGTTCATTGCACTGCCATAGAACTCTTCAGTGATGTGAATTCACTTCTCCTGCCAGTGTCTCTTGCTCGAGGAGGAGCAAAGTATAGCTCCGCTGGCTCAAAATAGCGTGTTGAACTGCATCAGGAAGTTCTCTGGAAAATCTAGGAGAGGTTGCTAACATCTTATTTGTCTGCTGGGATAGCTCTAGTGCTTCCCTGGCTGCTAGTCTTCAATACACTTGTTACGAAAGTTTGAAGGCAGAGGCACTCTGCAACACTTCTTTTCACAAAGATGTTGTCATCCAGCTCTTCTCTTCACTTTTCTCCTACCGCTCCTCTTGGAACCTGAAAAGAAAGATTTTTGGGATGACAAACAGGGCATCATCATGTTATTACGGTGTTCTTTAACCTACAGGCCCAAAAGGTGTTGCTAGAACAGAGGGTGAAAGTAGATGGCTCTTCTTCGAAAGGACCTCTCCGTGCAAGTCAAGGCTAGGCTAGGGGGTGTGGATATGTTCCACTGAGATAGAAGGAAATAAAAAAGGCAGGACTGAATTCCCTACGCCACTTTCTGGCCTTTCCTACAGGAGTTTGTGCCTCAACATTCATAGCGTGTTAGCCAGCTAAGCATTTTGTAGACTGTTCTGTAGAGAAATCACCATGAATATGGGAAAAATATGTTGATTTGGAAGGAAGATGTCTCCTTGGCATCTCACCAAGAATAAGGAGAATGAGTGGGGGTCTGTTAAACCTGTGTTCAGAGGTCCTCTACTTAAAGCATGACACGTCTTTGAGGACAAGCCTTTGCATAAGCCCTCCTTGTGATGCTCTTTATTTCTGTCCGTGACTGTCATCTTGTTTTACAGTTTACGGTGTGGAGCTGCTCCTGAAGACCACTGGCCTGGGGCCTGTTGAGTACCTGTCCTCAGGCTGGAATCTGTAAGTGCTCACTGATGTTTTGAGAGAAAGGTGGCAAAGATTGTTGGGTTACACTTGACTTCTGAGATGAGTGTTTAGGCCTGTAGACGAGGCTGTCAGCAAGCTATTGAAATCCTTCTGCCCTTGGCCTTGTGCACCAAGTACCTCTCCTCTGCTGGAACGCTGGTGACAAATCATTGCTCTTATTTTGTTTTCTTTTTTTCTTTCCAGATTTGACTTCTCAGTCACCCTGTTTGCATTTTTGGGGCTCATGGCACTGGCGTTTAACATGGAGCCATTCTACTTCATTGTGGTTTTGCGACCCCTCCAGCTGCTGAGGTGAGATGGGAAAGCTGGGGGTGGGTACAGAGAGTAGGTGGGGAAGAAAACAGCCAGGCTTGTTTTCCATCAATCCAGTTGGGGTCCAAGCTCCTTGCCAGGAGAGGGCAAGGATTGCTCTGTAGGTACGTGACCATGGCAAACAGGAATTGCGTGGGGTAATGAGATTAGCTAGAGTTATCGAAATGAACGATAACAAAAACTTGGGATGGGATATGAAACCCCGTGCTTTGGAGCTTAAGCTGATCTCTAATAGAGATCAAGGGATTTACCAGGGGCAGATTATCCTGTGTCTGCCTTCGTGGGGTTCTTACACCTCCTTTAAATTGTCTGATGCTGTTCAGAGAAAAGCTCTTCTGTCAGGGTGAGACAGTCTGAGCCAGTTTAATAATTTCCATTGAATTACCAGAAATTACAGTTTTCAAAGGATGCTGCTTTCTAGGGTGAAGTACAACCCTGCTCTAACTACATCTCACACTTTAAGCAAGACTTTAAGCCTGTAACCTCTCTGCAGCTCAATAAGATGGGTCTGATTAACCCTCTCATTTCGAGGCTGTTTCGAAGGTACATTCGCCTTTGCAGATCGCTTTGAGAGACGTAGGGGGAAGGCATTTAGGCAAAATGTTGTTTTGTTAAAAACAAACTAATGTAATTTAGCTCTTCAGTGAGGATTTAAAGAGAACACTTTATGACACTCAAGGGGGAAAAAAAAAAAATGTTTTCTCTGTTGCTCCCCTGCCAAAGCCTGTGTTTGGCAGCTGTGTTTCTCTGCAAAGGCTGACAGAGTTGCCAAATCTTAAATTAGTAGGCACAATGTAGGATTTTCATCAAATTTTATTGGGTCATGGGGGAAACACAGAAAAGCGAGTGTGTGAGGAAAGGAGTAATGAATCCTGACCCTGTACACAGGACATAGTTTAAGTTCTTATGATTTATTTTTTTTTAATAGCTATTTATGCATCATGCTGTGTAAAAAGACGTAGACTTTTCCTTGAGATTCCTTAATCCTGTGAACACTTAGTTGAATGTGTCATAAACATTCAGATGGGACAGCAGGACATTGTTAAGTGAGTGGAGACCACTTGAGCAAAAGCAGACCCTGTGAATTTAGTGTCAGGAAACCTTACTTTTCATTGACCTGAGAGGTACAGAGAACTGTGACACCCTTAACTATTTCCAACAACACTGAGAAGTTACAGCATGTAGGTAACCATTGGCTTCTCCTTTCAGGCTATTTAAGTTGAAGAAACGCTACAGAAATGTCCTGGACACTATGTTTGAGTTGTTCCCCCGGATGGCCAGGTACTAACTTAATCTCTTTGGGTGTTGGCGGGGAGAGGGGAGTGAAAGTTTAGTGTCTAGGGCTGGGGCCAGGATAGGGACCTGTCCAACCTGCTAAAGATGTTTATGCTCTGGTCTGTCAATAGATTGTCACTGATTCCTCAGTGTGCTGCAGTGGGGTGTTAAACTTCCAGTTTCTTGGAGCAGTATGTGATAAACAACGCTCCAGCATGCTGGGCCGCCTCCTGCTTTTGTGTTAGGAAGATAACTAAGAGTCGATGCTTGATTAATTTTCATCCCCCATCCCAGCTTTTGGTGAGAGAGGTGCCCATTTGGAAGGAACATTGGCATGAATGTTCCCAGATTTTCCCCTGTCCTTAGTACAGCCACAACAGCATTACTGTGAAATGGTGGGGCAGAAGGAGCTTGGTGTTTGAGTGGGGCATCCTCAGACCTTACTCCCTTATTTTCTAGCAGAGCTAGAGAACCCTGTTCTTGGCACAGTCCTTGCATCCAAGGACGTGGAGAGGGCAGAAACAGTGTGTGTTGTTCTTTATTAAAGAAACTGCAGAGACATTTGTTTACCAGAAAAAGACAGACTGGGAGGAGATCCAGGCTCCTCTTTAGTTTCTTTCTTCAATGAGTGGCAAGCTCCTTGTCCAAGGACTTCAAGAGAATGAGAGCAGGCAAAGAACTGCAGAGCCACAGTGGCAGGGAGGGTGGTCTGGGGTTTTCGGTGCTGCTTCCCATCTCTTGGAAATTCATTGCAGAGCAACCAGCCTGTGACTTTGTGTTTCCTTGCCTTAACAACTCTTCGGTAGCACAATACTCTTTCTGTTTTTGCCTCCAGCCTGGGTTTAACCCTGCTGATCTTCTACTATTGCTTTGCCATTGTTGGCATGGAGTTCTTTGCTGGTGTGGTCTACCCAAACTGCTGCAAGTAAGTACTGCAAATCCATCCCCCTCTGCAGTGGTTTTGGTGCACAGCCAGCAGCTGTAAGCCCTGGCAGCTCCATCTCCCTGTGGAGAAGGAGCCAGAGAATGGGTCTGAATGGGGTTTTGCAAACAAGGCAACATGCTGCAAAAATCTAGGAGACACTTCTCTAGGTGAGATTGGATGAAATGGTTTTTGCATTGCATTTGGAAAGGGAGAGATTTCAATGGCAGGGTTGGCTGGCTTTAATGAGCTCTGTAACTTGCCTTGGGTAGCTGCACTGGGAGGACTTCTTCATGGTGCCGTGGCTGGAAACTCTTGTCACATCTGCTACAGAGTGAAGTTGAGATTTTTTTCTTGGTGATGCCAGAGTTGCTTGGCCAGACACGTTACATATTTAGGTCCCGTTTTGTACCAAGATAAATTCACCTGGTCTTGGAAGCTAAGCTGTCCTGTGCCCTTTTCATCTTAAATGGTGGCAGACCACTTAGAAATGCCAAGCTTTAAGGGTGTGAGCCAAGAAGTCTAACTCAGACAGTTTCTCTGGTATATTTGCTGAATTGTTCAGAAAGACTCCATGTGCTCCCTGGGCTTGTGCTGAGCTGTGAAGGAGAGAGACTTTCAGAGAAAAAGACAAGTGTTGGCCAAGAGGTAGAAACTGCCACCCTGCTCACCACCCTCTAAGTGTTCTGGTATTTACAACCCTTGAGATTTTCCTTGCTTTTCCAGTTCTCATTCTTTGTCCCGGTTTGTCCAACCAGCACAAGCACAGTTGCAGATTCCTACCGCTGGGTGAATCATACAGTTGGCAACAAGACGGTTGTGGAAGAAGGTTATTACTATCTCAATAACTTCGACAACATTTTGAACAGCTTTGGTAAGGGCAGTTTTGTCTGTAGCAAAGACTATTCCTTAGTGCATCTGTGTCCTGCAGAGCTGGATGGCAGGACCCTGATGCTCATGTAAGAAACCTGGGACTCTCCCATAGAGTCAGTCCCACTAATGCACCTCAGACACTCAGCATCCGGCTCTTTGTCTGGAGAATCCAGCTGACTAATTGTGCCATGACTGCTTTGCAAGGTAAGCAGACGGCTCTTAAAAGCCAGTGTGAAGCCAGCTGATCTGTTCTGACTGGTGATCAGACCAGACTTCCAGAGATGTTTAAGGAGGGCTTTAAGTCATTACTCTTCTATAGAACCAATAGTGATGCTAATACATTTCTTTAAACCCACTGATGAAGAATAATTTGAATGTTGATTACTCTCAGTGTGATTTTTCTTAATGTGTGAGCAGAGGTGCTTATCTCCTGGAGACTTCAGAGGTCGCCATGCTCTCTGCTGGAAAGAGTCAGGTCTATTTCTGATTCTTTTAAGAAATACAGATTAAGGCATGCTCCTGGTTCTGTGGGTCTTAACCCCCTTTGTCTGAAGCAATTGCAGTGATGAGGGTCTGCATTCTGTCTCTGGATTTGCTGGCTGTATTGAAACTTCGGTGTCTTGTGTCAGCCCTCCCTGTCAAATACTTTGTCTAAAAATCACTGTAAAGTAGGTCAGGATGGACGAAGTAATTGTCTGTATTTTTTCTCCCACTGTATACAGTCACGCTGTTTGAGCTGACAGTCGTCAATGACTGGTACATCATCATGGTAAGTAAAGCTCATCTACCTTGTGTGCACAGCTGGCACAGACTCTGCCCATTGAGCTCAGTCTTCCACACCACCACTGCTTTCTTCCCCTGGTGATTGGAGATGGGCCCAACACTGCCACATGTTGTTGCCAGATACCTTTTGGTCTTGGTTGCTGGATGGCATTTGACCTCTGGCATGTTTTCTTGTGAATCTTGACTAGCCTTCAGGCCAGATTTCACAGCCTGGACAAATGATGTTGCTCTGGATTCCAATTTGTCACCCTGCTGCCCAAGCTGTGTTCTGGTAGCAGCAATGGCTCTTGCAGCCCCAAGCTTTACAAGTTCTGTGTGTTTGCATATAGGAACGTCTCTTTTTAGCTTGAGGGGCAGATTAGCTGCAAGGACCAGTTGGGGCATTGAGTGTTGTGAAGGCAGCCCCTGGGGCTAATTGTCGAGCCACAAATAAGAGAGAGATGTTTATGCTGCTTTGTGTCTGTTGGCAAGCAGTTAACAGCAGACTCTCCCTTCTTTTGTGCACTGCTGACTTCTCTCTCCTCTTTAGGAAGGGGTGACATCCCAAACCACTCACTGGAGCCGTCTCTACTTCATGATCTTTTATATTGTGACCATGGTAGGTTTCTGGATGTGCTTCATGCATCAGATAGTAGGGATGAGGGGGAGGGAGACAGCTTTTACTGTGTTCCGGAGGGAGTTTCCATCACTGAATGAGAACAACTCTGCTCTTCTACATAAATGTTTCTTTCAGAAACAGGTGTACACCCACATCAGTTGCAGGAAGTTGAATTTATGGGCATTGACAAAGCTAATGCTGCACAAATCTGGGCCTGGGGTAAGGACTAGGGCAGCACAAGAGTTTTGTTCTGTCCCCGTTGTGGTTGACTGTTAGCAGTTTAGTCACAGGTGTGACACGCGAATCCCCTCTGCCCTGGAGGAGCTGGGTGGGGAGCACAGAGTTGGAGCACAGGCCAAATGCTCAGCTTGGGGTTGAACTGGGCTGGAATAACCCCCCAGCAGCAGCCTCCTAATCTCTTCTGTTCGTGTCCTCTCCCAGGTGGTGATGACAATCATTGTGGCTTTTATTCTGGATGCTTTCGTCTTCCGCATGAACTACACTCGGAAGAACCAAGATTCAGAAGGTCAGAACTTGAGGAATGATTGACCTGCAGTGTTGTATGTGCGCGTGCTCTTCAACTACTTGAGTTGCTTCAACCAAATTATTTGAGGATAGGAAAGCTGTGTGCATCTAGTGAAAAATCTAGGAAACATTTCAGCAACAATGTAGCAAAGCTCAATTAGAGACCTTACAGGATGGGAAGGTGTTTTGTTTTGGTTTTTTCTTTAAAACCAATTTCCCTTCCTTGCTAATATGCTCACTGGCAGCAGAACGTGTCTCCAAGTGGTTTGTCCAGCGTTCAGACACCAAAATGCTGGATCCAAGTGGTTTGCCAGCACTCTTTGTCATGACATGGACGATGGATGCTGCCTATCCAGTTCTTTCCACATGTCCCAGTTGTTTTTAGACTGGTGACTACATCCTGGTTTTGGACAAGCCAACTGAGAGTGACTAGTCTCTCCATCCCCTCACCCTGTGAGTCACCAGTTTTACTCACTGTCCTTTGTCATCTGAGCTGGGTGTCTGAAACTGCATGTAGCTTCGTGACCTGCTAATTTAGCTGCCACAAACACATTAATTTCTCATAGCCCTTCTCCTGATATTCCTTCAGGTGCTCTACACCCAGACTTTTCTATTCATTCTCCATTCAGACTAATCTTAATAATTCTTTACACTTTTCTGCAGGAAGGAGATATAGCTACTGCATTTATACATTTAATACCAGAGAATCTTCCCTGAAGAAACATGACAAAGGCCCCAGACATGGGAACAGCTTTGATCAGCTCCTCATCTTTCTTAGGTGCCAGAAGATCAAATTTCTGTGGCACAGGCCTGCAGGAGCCGGGCATTGTTAGTTACAGAAACACTTTTCATTGTGGTCACTCCTACACCCAGTTTGAAGGGTGCAGTGAAAGACATTTGTTAGCACTGAACTCCCAAACTGTGTTAGGCAGTTGCAGGTCAAAAGGCAGCAATTCCTGTGTGATTATTTGCTTTGCTAGTTAATTTACAGGCATGCAAAAAGCTACAAGACTTTTTTTTAAGATACTGAGGAGCCTGATGTTTTAAAAAGCTGAGTTGCTTGCTGGCACTGCACGCTAGTTAACTTCTTTCCTGCCTTGCTGGGGGACAAGGACATACACTTCCTAGTCACAAAAGTAGGTACAGACTGTGCCTGACATCTGGCTTGGTCCTGTGCACTGTTAAGTTTTGCCTTCCAGGATTATCATAGTGGCTGATGAAGCAATGTTCATCTTGGAGACTTTTTTTTTTTTCTCTTTCTTTTTCTTGCTTCTCCAGAAGACAACGGCATTGTGCTGGAGAAGGAGATCTCCAAGGAGGAGGTGGTTGGCATAATTGAGCTGTACAAGCGGAGTTCAGCTGCCGCTGAAATCGCTCAGCTGCAGAAGATCGTTCTGCAGATGGACAAATACGGGGTAAGAGGAGATGCTCACTGCACGGTCTCAGCTTCAGGGGAGGGAGGCGTGCTAGGGCCACAAATGCATTCTTGCTGTCTTAAGAGAAGCTACGCGTGTCTTATAGTGCTGAGAGCTGAGTTACTGGAGGGGCTCTGTAGCATCGGCACAAAGATCTGCTGCTCTAGAAAAGTAGCAGCTGAATTTCCCCTGCACTCTGAATGGCCTTCACAAAGGGTTGTCGCTGTTGCCTGCAAACTTGGCTTAGAGCTGTCCTGGCCCACTACTGACTGGAAAAAAAGTGTATTTCTTTTTCTTTAAGGAATCCATTGTCTTGTAATTCTCCTGCCTCTCTCTCTGTGCCATCGTACACTTAGGCTTGGACAGTCCTGAAACATTACGCAGCAATACAATGGTATCGATTCCAAACACCAGGCTTCCTTTCTCTGGGGCACTGCTTACATTTTCATTCTAAAACAGGATGGACAATTGGAAAAAAGAGCTGACCTGGGTAACTGCTCTTGTCTCAGAACTGTTGTCTCGTGCATCTGGGCAGAGCTTAAGTGCTTGTTGTAATAATAGCCGTTATATTCTTATATCACCATTACAAAGTGCAATCTCTTAAGCGGCCTTTATTTGCTTTGGCTGGCTTTTTAGTTAAAGGCTGAGCTCTTGTTCACACAGACAAAATTCAGAATAGTGATGATGATACTGATCAGAAGCAGTTTTCAAGACAAACCAAAGGAGGATGCTGTCCTCAGCCTTGCAGTGGAGTACAGAATGAGGATGCCAGACCTGAGGTTTCTTTTGCTTCTCAAACCTGTTCATATAACTCATGTGGTCAGAGAGTAATTCAGACTTTGTCTCTCTTCTTACACAATTTAAGAAGTCCAGGTCCATGGAGTAAATGATATGGTCTAGACAAGTGGGACCTGAAATTGTTCTCAGACAAGATCTTATTTGGAAGCTTGGGTTTGAGCCATGTTCCAGGCACTGATGTTACATTCCTCTGACTAAATTTAGCACTGCTGACAGATGCATCCATCTGAGCTACAGCTCCCTCTGTAGCCTTTGGGGATCTGCTCAGTGTGACTCATCTCAGCCTGCAGTAGATGCCTGCATCTGTTGGGTGACGTGCACCCTGAAATGCCTTTTTCCCATGACAACAGAAGGAGCCCAGGATAGCCCGAGTCAGCAGTGGATGATGGGTGTCTGCATGAGGGATGTCTGGAGTTGTAGGGACTGGTTCTGTGAGCTGCTGAGTGACTGATGAATGTCTTTTTTGGCTTTTCCTCTTCCTTTCCCCAACTCTTTAGCAAATGTCAACACTGTTTCTGGGGCGCAGATCAAGGACCAAGAGTGATTTGAGTATGAAGATGTATGAGGAGGAGATACAGGTACGTGGGCCTGAGTTGGAAATATCAGCAAGTTTCTGTGGTGAGCAGAACATTGCCTGCAATAACAAACCATCCTTTTGAAAACTGGAGGCCTTCTTCCTCCAGGACCCAGCCAGCCACGTGCCCTGTGAGAAGCGTAGGCAGTAGATGAAGTGTGCTTTAGATGGAGCCGTTCTTGCACTCAGAGTCTTTCTTAAACCACAGAGCACATCAGAGCCTCTTCAGTGGGTGGCGGTGCGAGGCTGTGCCGGTGAGGGTCAGCTCTCGGGGTGTGCCTGAGCACTCCAGCTTGGCTGAGCTCACCTGCCCTCGCCGAGGTGGACGTGTTTGGGCCAGGAGCACATATACAGTGTGTTCCCGGGGCTTGGCTGCCAAACGCTAATTTGTTAAACCGCTGGAATGTGATTGTGTTTGAGCTTGGGTGTGCCTGTCTTACAGAGAAACCAAGTTTCCCTCCCAGACAGAGTGCTGCTTGGTGTGAGCAATGCTGCTGCTTTTCTGTCAGAATAACAGGCTAACAAATGATTCTCTGGCTTGTTTAGGGCATTCCTGCTAGTGCCCTTCGAGGTCAGGGACTTTGCGCCATGGTCAGTGTAGTGCCTGCCAGATATTCACCTCCAGTTTGAAGGTCATGGCTAATGTAATGATTACTACTGAAAGAATTAATCTTGCAGCCGTTTGAATCTGTCCTTTGTCCCTTGGGCAGCTAGCTTGGTTGAGTCTTCAGTCTCACTAACAAAAATAAACACGTTATTTACCATGGAGCTGGGTGGAAATCTGCAGAGAAGCTCCCTGCCTGTTCTGCTTGATCTTGGATTATGTAACATACTGTAACACCCTGGGCACTGCCCAGGATTGGGGACAACTCTGCAAATCCCAAACATGATGGGGACATCAGTACTAGAGTCCTGGATGTTTGAGAGGGACATCCTTTGAGAGGGATGTTTCCTTGCCCAGATTTGTCCGTTCAGCCAACTGGAGCCAAGCCATAGCTGGTGCTTCTTGCTCATACAGTGGGTGGCAAGGTCTCGGTGTGTCTGTCACAGCCTTGCTGCAGCTGACCGGGTTGTTCTGGGAGGCTGGGCTATATCCAGGGCTTTGGAAAGAGCCTCTCTGTGCCTGAGCGGATGTGCCCTCACATGGCAGAGCAGCCGGAGGCTCTGCCCTTCGGGGTCCTGCTGGGGGGCTGCGAGGCCAGAGTGGGGCAGAGCCTGATCTCAGCGATCTTCTGTTGCAGGAATGGTATGAGGAGCATTCAAGAAAAGAGGAATCTCAGACACCGTTGCAAGAGCCTGCATCTGCTTCCAACAGCTCTCTGAAGCCCCTGAGCCTCCGACAACGCTCCCAGACTGTCATTTAGGCCTAGCTAACGCAAGCCACCTTCTATGCAATAACCTAGAGTATTACTTCACAGCGTATATATTGGGATGATGTATATAGATCTGTTCGGTGTACTGTTCGGCTTTAGGGTTTAAAGCTCTTCCCCTAGGCAGTGAATTGCTGAAAAACCAGAGGCCGGGGGACTCTGTGTAAGGCTGCTACGCACAGAGTGAGCATCTCGGACAGGACACAGACCTTCTCCCGCTGAGCCGCTTCCCAGGCTCGAGCCTGCTGTTTGTCTTACCACTAACAGACCTTGAGGAAAGGAACGTGTAATCCATTAACAGCAGGGAATGTGCTGAAGCCACCTGCTTAATATTAAAACTTTTACCCTTTTTGAAGATCTCTTTTGCTTAAAGGGTACCATTAACCTAGGAATAAAAGATCAGGGAGTGAGTTTTTTCTTCTTCACCTTCCTTATGCAAAGAAAGGGGAGGTGGTGTGAAATTTCAGCACTTTTGGAAGAGCAGTCTGCCTTTCCTCTCCTTTTTGGCACACCTAGATGCACTCCCTGTAGTAGATCCAGCTCTCATTATTGAATTTAGCTGTCCCCCAGCAGTTCTGTGGCAGCTGGCAACAGAACTGAGGGCCAACATCTCATTGTGTTATGACCATAGGTGGGACAGGAGTTTGGGGAGACAAACTCTATCTCTGCTGTAGCTATCAAGTATCTGCACCGCTGCTGGTCAGTTCTGCCTGGGATTGGGATTGCCTCTGGAAACCCCAAAGCTCCTGTCCCCATTCAGGGAGAGGGAGTGTTCTGCAGGGTGACGGTGGCTGTTGACCTCTGCCACTTGGCCACCTGCTCTGTAAATGGCAAATCTCTGGGTGGTCCTTAGCTCAAATAGATGACTAGGAGGAAAGGTTTTGCAGCTCCAAGTCTGACTTATTTCTGCCTGGTTCTGATTTAAGCAGAGCTTATGGGCATCAAACAGTACTGCTGGTTAGGCCTCAGCCAGGTCATTGCTTTGTTTATGCAGGTGAGCAAGTCCCAGCACAGCAGTGTTGCTCCTCCCTTGCTCTTGCCCTTGCAGAAGTGTTCCTCAGGCTGTCAGATGCTGACTGAGTTGGATCTTTGGAAGATCCACTGAAGAGCTTTACTGTTTCCCTGAATTTTGGATGCAGGATGAACATGGAATATAATGATTCTTCTCACCTGTCTGCTTTTCTGCAGCTGGCAAGGAGGCTGCTGGATGTGGTAGCTGAGGGATGGGAAGGGGAAAAGGGATCCCTTCCCAGCTCGACCACATTTATTCTGGGATCATGACAGGTTGCATCATCGCTTGTGTTTCACTGCCCTCAACGTGATGAGAACCTGTCTCTGTACGTTTCCTTTTTGCCCTGTCAGCACAGAATGTGCTGAGGGCTAGAAGTATCTGTCAGCTGGGAGGTTCCCCTCACCTCTTGCTGTTTGATCTTTTCTCAGGTTCAGACTAAGAGTAGAGCTTGCTTGGGGATGCCTTCTCCTTCCTCCAGCTAGATCAGGCAGGGGGAGATCTGTGTGCCCATTCCCTTTGTCCCACATACCTGTCTTTTCCTTGGTGGCCTCACCATATGGCACAAGGATGGTGGGAGAGGACTGCTCCTACCTGGGCAGTTCAGGAGCATTTCCTGAGTGGATGAGACTTTCAAAAGCAGGCAAGACAGAGTTGCTTTTGAATATCTCTCCTGCATAGCATGGTGGGAGCATTTGGGCTATGGGATGGAAAGAGTGGGTGAGCAGCTTTCCAGGCAAGATGCACACCATCCTCTGCTCTCATCCCTTGCCAAATTCCCTGGGTGCCTCAGGGCAACTCTTTGTTTCCTTTCTGGGTACTGCAGGTATGAAACTACTTCTGAGCTGAACCGTGAAGGACCTTAAAGGGCTGTTTTCCAAACCATAAATTCGACCACAAATTAATGAGCAGTGCAGTTGTTGCTCTTGCAGTTGCTCTGCATGGAGTCGCAGCCTGGGAGATTTATCCAGATTAGTCCTGGGGCTGGAGAAGATGTTGTTTATTCTGTTTTAAGTTGTGAGCAGGATGAATGAGCATTGTGAAGGTTGGGGGCTGT